GCCACCATGCCCGGCTAATTTGTTCTATATATATTAGTTGGCCAATTAATTTCTTTCTATTTATAGTAGAGACGGGGTCTTGCTCTTGCTCAGGCTGGTTTCGAACTTCTGACCTCGAGCAATCCTCCTGCCTCGGCCTCCCAGAGTGCTAGGATGATAGGTGTGAGCCACTGCGCCTGGCCATAGAAGCTTATCTGCCTTTCTGGGTGGGAAAAAAGGAATTCTGTAGAGGGGCAACAAAGGATTACTAGGGAGGATGAACGGATGGGGAACAAAGATTAACTGGTAAAGAGATGAGACATTAAGAGTCTGTTCAGGTGTGGTCCTTGTGTTATAGGGAGAGGAAAGAAAGAACAATTGTTCTCCTAGGTGGTCCAGATCTCAGGCAGATAAAGAAACTTCAGTGATTTGGGGAGAGTTGCTTGTGGTAGTGGGGAAAGGTCAGAGAACTTGAGGCTTCTTCAGTCAGTCCAGAATGCCAGAATGCCAGAATGCCATATTTCGGGGTAAAATATTTCTAATTTCCTTCAATCTCATTCAGTCGGAGCTGAAGTCCGACAATGGCCCATGAGGCCTGGCACGGACTGAGCTCCCACTGCTCCCTCGTCCCTCCCTGCAGGTCCCCAGACGCACTAGGCAGGGTCCTGCCCCAGGGCCTGGACGCTCTTCCCTAGGCTCCGACATGGCTCGCTCCTCGTCTCCTGTGTTGCTGACAGTGCCCTTCCCAGAGGCTGTCCCCGTGAGTCTCCCCACTCCCAGTAGGCCCTGTGCGCTGTTCTGCTTTATTTCTCTCCACAGCACCTTTTATCACCACCTTCCTGGCTGCACCTTTCTGTTACCGGAAGTTCAGCACTTGTCCCCAAGTCTGCATCAGATGAACAAGGACAAGTGGCTTGAGGAGAAGGAAAGAGGAGTTTATTAATCTGCCGGCAGATGAAGAGGTTGGCTGACTCCTGTCTTAAACACCAACGTCCTGCTTCTGAGCACAGAACCTGCTTTCAGAGGTTCTGATTAATCCCGTAATCCCATCTTCCCATAAAACGATCTGGTGACCTCCGCCTGGACAATTCCCTTGAGCCATCTCCTGTGGCAGAAAGGACATTTCCCCTCGCGCTCCTGACCACTGGCCTGAGGCAGGGATATAGGTTTTAGTTCTCAGAAAGGGTGAGGGGATTTTTAGGAGACAGACTGGACCCCAAGTGATGCGCTAGAGAAGGAGAAATCAAGATAAAGCAGGCTGTGTGAAGTGCCATGAAGAACACAAAACAGCGATAGTAAAGTAGAAGATGGGAAGCAGTGTGGAGGTAGTGGCATTTAAGGAAGGTCTCCATGAGGAGGTGACATTTGAGCTGAGACCTGAAATGTGAGAAAGAGCCAGGTCTAGTGGATGGGATGAGGACTCCAGTTGGGGCCAGAGGCTCTGAGGCCTGTGGGCTGTGACAGTCCCCTCCGAGAAGGTGCTGGGGAGGGGAGGGCGAGAGAGGAAAGACAGCTCAGCTCTGGGGCTTCTGAGAGTTTAGGCCTGAAACCTGAGCCTAAGTATGCGGGGATCTGAGTTCTGGGTTTAGCACTTAGGACCACCGCCCCAGCTCCTTCCTTCCCTGGGGGAGGGCAAGCCAGGGCTCATGCAGGCTCCTCTGTGCCGGTCTCCTCATGGCCAGCAGAGGGCAGTGGTTGCCGCCGGGCAGGCGGACAGGGCGGGAACTGACCTTTCCCTGATGGAATGCCACCTGGGCGGTCAGCTCCAGAAGGGAAGGGGAAAGGTCGGGCCACTTCCCTCACCCTCTCTAATCCTCAGCTGCCATCAAACAGATCTCCAAGCTCTGGCCTCTCGTTGGGGCTGGGGGTAGGTGGCACTGGGCAGATTGTGGGGACACCTGCCTAACACTCCCGGTCAGGCTGCCTGGACCAGGCAGATCCCAGCTCCTCCCAGGATAAGGGGAAAGGCTCTCAGAAGAGAATGCGTCTGCTGTTGTTGTTGTTATTAAGCACTGACTATGTGCCAGGCACTGTGCTAAATTCTTTTATCATGCATCATCTCTTTAAAGCTTCCCAACAAATCTATGAAACAGACGCTGTTTCTCTCTTGCAGGTTGCCCCAAACCACACTGCTAGAACCAGGATTTGCCCTGCAGACCAGAGTCTCAATTAGTGTTACTGCCACCTTCTCGGGCAGGGGTGGCTGTTGCCCAAGGAACCAAGGCGAGTAGGGAGGGATGAATAAGAGATCTCATGGCACTGACATAGAAGGGATCGGGAGATCACTCAGCCTAAGGCCTTTATTTTACAGATGAAGAAAACTGCAGAGAGGGACATGGCTTGCCTAAGGCCCCACAGAGAGCACAAGGCTGACCGTAACACAGGGACTCAGGCACACCAGGATCCATGAGCAGATCCTGAGTCCCTTGAGGGCAAGGACCCCATTTTACCCTTTCTTCCCTCCTTCTGCCCCACTGTGCCCACCATGGGGTATAGCACATAGTAGGTGCTCAAAACATCCTTGATGATGGGTCTGCCAGGTTTCAGTCTGAAATGTCGGTTCTCGGCGCTCATGGCTGAAGAATGACCAGACGCACCAAAGTTAGTCAAGCATGAAAATGAGGTTTATTGAGGAGAGAAAGATAGGATTATAGAGCAAGAGCAAAATATAGGTTTACAGAGCAGAATACATACACCACAAATGGTCACCGGACCCATTGTTGTAGCAAAAGGAGAGCAAAAGGAAGGATGCAAAAGGGCCTAGTTATGGTCTGTGTCTTGTTTTATAGTGACCAGATTGGGACCCTCCTCGTGGTTCAGAAGGCACCATGGAACCGCTGTGACAGAGTTGCATGACCTGAGTCTTACTACACATGCAGGTGTTCTAGGTCACATCTGGACTCTGTTGTACCTATGCAGCTTGGCCTGTGGGGTAGAGAGTCCCTTCCGTTCTTTGCAGCTGGGGTGCTAATTGGCAGATCTGTATGGTATTCCCTCCTGCCCCGGGTATGGCAGTCACTCTGGAGAGGATTAGGATGGAACAGGACCAAGATGGGGGCCTGAGGCCCACCCTTGTCCTCTTCCCAGGTAGGGCAATTGCACCAAGGCAACAGCACCCAGTGTCGTCCCTAGGAGACCCGGGATCCCGCGCTATGTACCTAACGGGTTCATCTTCATTCCTCAGCAGCCTCAGCCACCTGCCGTTTCGGCCCTCGTTCATTTATTCAGTGTTTAGTGAGCTGACTGCGTGCCTGGCTCCCTGCTGGACACCGGGCACACAGCAGTGTAAGACACTGTCCCTGCGCCTGCTGGCTGACATCCTGGTGGGGCCCTCAGGGGTCACCCCGCATTACAACGTGTGTTCCTATAGTTTCCTCACCCTCAGCGCAGGCTTCCCCTGCCCCATCTGGTTACCCAGAGCCCCAGGCTGGAGGCGGAGCAAATCTGTTCCACTGCCCTCGCTGGGGCCATTGCTGTTCCCTTCGTCCTTGCTACCCTGACACCCTCTCCTTCCAAGTAGCCTCCTCCCCTCCTCCAGGAAGCCCTCTTTGACTAACTTCCCCAGCTGCTATGCCGGCCCGGTGCTGAGGTCTGAGCTCTGAGCTCTGGTCCTGTGTCTCTGTTTTAGTGCAGGTCGCCCTCCTCATCCCCCAGAGCTCCCTCCACGCGAGGACAAGGCCTCCCCTTAGCTGTTTCCCTCAGGCCTGAGCAGCTCAGGGGAAGGGGCTGGAGGGGAGGTTGTGCAGCCAACCCTCAGCGCACGGGCCAGCCTCGGGTCTGGGCCCGGGTTTCCTTTGGAGCACAGTTTCCCCGGAGCCGTCAGGACACTGGATCACTGTCCTGGCACATGGCCTCTGAGCTCTGATATTCCAGCTGGAGCCTGGGGATTCGGTCTGGGCACCAGCTCTTGGGTCCCTGCTCAGCCCCACCTATCCTTGGTGTTCTAGTCTCCACCTCACCAACTCTCAAGTTTGGTAAATTTTTCTGTCCCTGTGGCAGAAAGTCTGCAAGGGAAAAATAGTTCCAGGCAACCAAAAGGCTTCTTTTCACCTGCTGGGTGACCAGAGTTGGCCTCTCTGGGCCTCAGCTAGTGAGAAAAGAAAGAGCCAAAGCCAAGTAAGGGCTTATTTTTGTTGTAGTAGCCAGAGGAAGGCTGGTGCTCTTGGCCAGGTGTTCACTGAACCACTCTGGAGGGAGGGAGGTCGGACTCTGTGCCTTTCAGAGAACCGTTTAGGATCTGCTAGCCTGAAACAGGTATGGAGTTCCCTTGTTTGGGTAGGAAACCATCACTCTCTCCCATTCATGCATTCATTGATGCATTCTGCACATGCTCACTGTGCTCCTGCAATGCACCAGGCCCTGCATTGGCGCTGGGGACCCACAGGCCAACAATATATGCCCTCACTTTGATGGGACTTTTAGGCTTGGAGACCCTTTCTGTGGAGGGACATCATTCATTCATCCTTTCATTCATTTTATATTTCTTAAACACCTACTATGTGCTAGGCACTACACAAGGCTCTGAGGATGCACTAGGGCGTGATCCCTGCCCTTGAGGAGTTTAGAGTCTTCTGGGGATAAAAGGCACAATTGAAGCACCACTTAAGCAGAGGAGTAGGGAGTCCAGGATACAGAGATAAATGTCAGCAAGAGATGTGGCATTCCTGGCTGGAGGGAACACAGCTGTCTCATCAGATTCCCCAAACACTCTGTGAGGGAAGTGGGGAAGTGCTTCACTCCATTTGACAGAGGAGGAAACTGAGGCTCCATGAATTTAATGTCCTTCTAAGCATCCAGAGCAGGGCCAGCTAAGGATATGTCCAATAAATGTTTGTGGAATGAATGGCCCATATGTGGTTCATAAATTTTTTTTGGGGGGGGGAGAAGGCAAAAGTTTATTAATTTGCCAGAAAATGAGGAGGTTGGCCGACTCCCATACGTCATATAATTCCTGACTATGACATTCATACTCAGATTCAGAAGTTCACATTCCTATTCAGAAATTAATAGAGTAGAAAACAAAGGCACAGCGAGAGCACAGGTTTCCGCTCTAGGCCTCTCTCGGGTGGGTATGCAGTCTACCTGTCAGTCTTTCCCGAGTTTTGAGAGCAGAGCCTATTCCTCAGGGTCAGTAGAAGAATGAGTAAACCCGAGTCTTTGAACTTCAGCCCTGGGCCTGGCTGTGCTGCGCTGAGCGAGCCAGCACGAGGTCTGTCTGCTTGTGTTTGAGTCACCCTACTGGTTGCTTGTCTTTAATCCTTAACGTATGTAGCAACAATGACATTGCTACCAATAATCCTTCACATTTGTTGAGCTATTGCAGTTCGGAGCGCTGGAAGCAAGAGATTCCCCACAGGAACGAACACAGCTATCTCATCGGATCCCCAAACACCCTGTGAGGGAAGCGGCGAAGGGCTATGCTCCATTTTACAGATGAGGAAACTGAGGCTCCATTTACTTGAGGTCTCACCATTGGTGAGTGGGTGGGCCAGGACACAAATGCTTCAAACTTCTTTCTCCTCCCGCAACTTCCTTTCCTTGAGACACCTGCTCTCCCTGCAGTCTGCCTCCCAAGTAAGCCCCGTGCACACTTACAGCCCCTCTTCCTCCAAGCAGCCCAGCCTCACTCCGGTTCCCTCCGCATGCCCTTCTCTGTGCTGACCTCCAGTCAATAGCACCCACTCCTGCACGTGGCAGGGAAACCCAGGGTGGATATCTTCAGTCGCTCTCTTATCTCCCAACCCCACTGGAGCTTCTTGCGGTGGAGGGGCGGACAGCCGCCTCGGTGTTCCAGCACGGGCTTGGAAAAGATCCTCCATCCCTATTTGTTGATCTGGAGTTTGATTTGGCAGGACTAGGCCTGTACCCTTTGGAATATATTCTGGGTTGTGCCAGCTCCAAGTAGGGCAGCAGTACTTAGGAGGAAGCCCTGCCACCACCTGGGGAGTCCCCTGTGTATGTGCTGGTGCCCGGCCCACGTGGCGCCCGGCCAGGGCGGGTCGTGCGGGGACGTGGGTCAGTGTTGGTGCGGTCTCCTGGTGGGGTGGTGGGCAGGGGACCTTTGCGTGTCCAAGCTGCATTGGTCTGAAGGTATAACGAGGGCCCTGGACTCCTTTCCCTATAATTGGAGGATTCCTAATGTCCCATGGTCAACCCGATTGACTGGTGGCTGACCCACCCTGAGAGGGAGATAAAAACAGACGCATGGCTTTATCCATGGACAAATCTCGACACTTTATTCATCCCTGGGCAGGGAGCAGGGGGCATTGCCCTGAGACAGCCAGCCGGTCAACCGGGGTGGCTGGAACATGTGTCGTCTGTCAGATGATAGTACATACAGCACTGACTATGCAGGAACAGGAAGGGAAGCAATAAGTTAAAAGCTACATAAGTTATGAAAAAAATAATATATACTGCATATAACTTGTATCTCTGCTGAGGATTTGCTCCCTTGGAAACCAAAAAAGAGCCTGAGAGAAAGCAGCAATCGGCACCCTCACTGGGGACTTCAGGGATGAGTGCATGTCTGCAGTCCCCTAGCCTGCGAGCCAGCGGCCCATCAGCGCCCCCTACAGGCCTGGGGCCCGAGGCCCAGGAGTGGCCAAGACCTGGGCCCCCCCAGCCCTGGAAAAGGAGATGAATGAATCACAAGCAGACCCCAAGAGGAGGTGGGGGGTGGGGAAGGAGGGAGGGAGGGAGGGAAGGAAGGAAGGTAGCTTATGGGGTGGAAGGCTGGAGCTGCTGGGATCCCCCCAAGCTCCAAAGTGGGGAGCCAAAAGGAAGACATAGCACTCCTACCAACCCCAGATACTTTCTCTTTGGTTGAGCCCTGTTAAGGCTGTCATCGGGGCTCCATAGCCCGACCTCCAGGGCTCAGAAACTCCCAGACTTGCCTGGACTATGCCTTCTTCATGGCCTGTCGGAGGCAGGGAGCGTGGGCTTGGAGGGTGGATGGGGCCGGAGGGGGAGAAGAGAAGGAGCTTTGACCCTGCAGGTCGGGGGAGTCTCTGGGGTTCCTCAGTGCATGCGAAGGCAGGGAGGGCCAGGCTGTCTGGTCCCACGGAGAGGAGAAGTGGGGCCCTGAGAGGCCCCTGAGAAGAGGGATTTGTGGGAGGTGGCCCCGGGGTTTCACAGCAGGGGCAGGGCTGGAGGTCTCCAGGATTGGGTGCATCAAAGCCAGGTGTTCAGGCTGGGAAGCACCTGGGCTTGGGGCGGAGGGCTCAGATCCCAGGCTGGGGGTGATCCCAGAGTGGCAGGGAGGTGAAGGGGTGGTCTAATTCTCCTGCCTGGTCTCAGGGTGCCTGGCCTCCACTCCCAGAGAGTGGACTGTGGCAAGAATTGCTGGAGAAGAGCTGGGAGCTGGCTGGGGTGGCCTGCCCGATTCTAACCATGGTGCACTGGGAGGGACCGGGGGAGGAGAGATGGGCGCAGGTGTTCGGGCCGACCTCAGAGATCCAGGCTCAGGTCCCAAACACACAGGGACCTTGCTCCCTTCAGTCCCCACACTCCATAATACTGTGAGTTCTCTGCAGAGCCCAGGCGGTGCAGGGAAGCCAGGGGATCTCAGCACCCAGCCTCCTCAGGAACTCCAGATACAGGACGGGGCCCATGCTGGCTGGGCGAGCCAGGGCACCAGCCTCAGCTCCAAGGCAGAGGCAAGGCAAGGCTTGAGATAGGAGTTTAGGGCAAGCGTTGGGCAAAAGACTCAAAGGGGCCTCGGTCAGAGCCCACGTTGGAGGAAGAGCCTCCGAGGAACGGGGAGGTGCAGACAAAAGCCACCCCCATTCCAGTTTAGCCAGTCAGGACCACGGCTGGCTAGAAGGTTGGAAGGATAAGGCTGAGAGACACTGACGGGAGTGGAGGGCTCCAAACAGCTGGCGGGGCTCCTCTTCTACCCCGCAGCCTGCCAGACAGCAGTCTCGGTTTGCGCTCCTCCACCTCTCAGTTCAGTATCAGGTTTGCCTCCCCTCCCAACCTAGAGGCTCCAGGCTGGTTTCTTGAGTCTAGCTTAAGTCCCTCCTGCTGCAGTGGGAGTGCCTTGGGGTTCCGTGGGTCCAGCTGCCTTACTCTGAGACCTCCGACTCCTGAGAGAAGTACTTCTCCGACATTTCGGTGATTTTGATCACGGGACCTTTGGTGTTCTTCTTCTTCCGGGAGGGGGTCTTGGAGAGGCCTGACCTGGAGGCAGCTACAGGGGACATGAGGGGAGGGGGAGGGAAGGGGCTGGAGGTTTGGGAGCCACTTAAAATGATGCCTTTAGGTCAAGATCCCCCCTACACCCCCTCGCCTTCCCCACCGTGGGTTCTCAGGGCAAGAGGACTCACCGGTTCTGGACCGGGACTGCACGGCGCTGACCACGGTGGCCGAGGGCAGGTCCATCCTGGGGTGTGAGGTGGGGGAGGAATATGGTGGGATGTAAACGGAGCCTGTGGCTTAAGCTCCCCTGGGATTGGGAGCCTGGGGGCTAGCAAGTGGAGGGTAATTCTTGATTGTCACTCCCAGCCCCGGGTTGCCCTGTCGTGTGACCCTGGCTAGCCAGCTTGTCCTTTCTGGGCCTCAGTCCCCTTTTCCCTGTGTAAATGGCTAACAGCACTGAGCATTTGTTCTTGACAGGTATTTGCATCATAATCACATTAACCTTCCCCAGCACAAGTGGCTCATGTTTATGATCAGCCCATTTTCCAGATGGGGAAACTAAGACTTTAATGAACTGGGCCAGGCTCCCAGTTTGTAAGTGGCTGAGCCAGGGCTGGAATGCAGGCCTGCCAGGCTCACCAAGTCCTGGGGAAGGGAAGGCCGACTCTAAGTGGCCTGCATCTCCTGCCCTCCCTCTCCTCCAGCCCCACCCTGCTGGCCCCACGCTCACCGGCTCTCCTCGCCCTCCACCAGCTTGCTGTAGGTGGCGATCTCGATGTCCAGGGCCAGCTTGGTATTGAGGAGATTCTGGTACTCGCGCAGCTGCTGCGCCATGTCCTGCTTGGCCTGCTGCAGGGTGGCCTCCAGCTGGGCCAGCTTGGCCTTGGCGTCCTGGAAGGCCAGCTCCCCCTGCTCCTCTGCTGCCCTGATGCTCTCCTCCAGTTTCAGGCACTGCAGCCAGCAGGACAGAGGAAAGGGTCAGTGATGGGGGGAGAGAGGGAGAGAGTGGCCAGGGCCAGGAGTCACCTCTGTCCTTGGTGCGGGTGCATGGGGAAGGAGGGCTGAGCAATGGCATTACTGGGTGTGCTAATGGGTTGCAATGCAGCAAGAGGGAGTTCAGTTAGACCTACAGAGACATTTGCCTAAGGCCGGACAGAAGTGTCACAAGCTACTAAAGGAGCCTATCTCAGCTGTCCTTCAAGGGTGGGACTTGCTCCGAAGGCTTGTCCTGGCTGGAAGCTGGGACTCCAGCCTGCACTCCCTTCTCTGTATAGTTGGCGGGGGCCTGGGAGGAGGCAGTGGGCTCTGGGTGTGCATGGTCGTGGGGCCTCCTGACGTCCCGGCAGCCCGGCCTGTTTACAGAGCACTCTTACGTGCAAAGCTCGTGTGATCCTCATAACTACCTTAGGAGGCTGTGCTACTGTCCCTTTGACAGGTTAGGAAACTGAGGCACAGAGGTGCTAAGTGACCTACTCAGGGCAACTCAGTGAAGTCTTGGATGTCCTCAGGGTGTGTGAGAGTGTGTGTCTCCCTGCTGTCTCCCTGTCCCTGCACCCAGGTGGGTCCTCCAGACACTCACGTGGCTCTTGATGGAGAGGATCTGGGACCGGAGCTTCTGGATGCGCACGTTGAGGTCGGTGATCTCGCTGCGGCTGCTCTGCAGGCTGCTCCCCAGCTCCGCCGAGCGGGCGGCCTGATCCTCCAGCTGGAGGGGCGTGGAGGTCGCTTGTAGTGAGGGACAGCTCACGGTGTCCCTCCCCGCACCCCTTGCCCTTCGTCTTCCTTCTTCTCTCGTCCTCCCCCCATGCCAAGGTCCCTCCCCTGCTCCCACCACGCCCCTCTCTGGGTGGCCTCCTCCTGGCTGCCCAGATGAGCCTCACAGGCTGTGCCCGCATCTGCCTGGCCTTGCTGGGTGACAGCACCACCGTGAGCTCTGGAGGGCACAGACTGGGGGCAGTCCCTCAGAGCGTGGCACACTGCTGGGTTCCCTCCTTCTCCTTGCCTGTGACCCGTCTGCTGTGGTCCCCCGTCATAGAATCTCAGGACACAGAGCTGCAAGCGGCCTCAGCCGTCACTAGTCCAGCCCTGCCTGTGGCCCAGAGACAGCTGTCCAGGCCGCTTCCCAGCCTGGTGCTCGGCCCGTACCTGGCTCCGCGAGTACGCCTCGGCCTCTTCTAGGCTGCGGGCCGCGATGGCGTCATACTGAGCCTTCACCTCCTCCACGATGCCGCTCAGGTCAACGTGGCAGCGGCTGTCCATGCCAACTGTCACTGACACGTCCTTCACTTGGGCTGCCAGGTCCTTCAGCTCCTGGGTGGGCACAGACGTGGGGGACTCAGGGCTGGTGGGGAGGGACCCAGGGTGAAAGGAGAGCGGGGCTACTCTCGTGCTGTCTCTTTGGAGAGGTGAGCAAAGGACGAGTGCCTCCCTGTTATGTCTCCCAGCTTGGCTTCTTAAGAGGCAGCTCCCTGCCTCCTGCTGTCCCACCGAGGCCCCCCTCTCTGGGGAGGGGTGGGAGGGAAGGAGAGCTGGGAGGGGCTCTTGGCCCCAGAGGCCCACCCCACAAGCCCTATCACCCTCCAGTTTCCCCTCTGTCGGCACTGGTGGGATGGGCACAGGGACTCACTCCCAGGGTGGGATGGCTTCCTCCTGGCTGATGGGGAAGAGGCCTCAGAAGTCATGCCCTGGGGTTGGGAGCCAGGACCCTCGGCTAACTGTCTCACCACCGTGACTCTGTGCGTGCAGCTCTGTCTCTGCCGTGGGATGGGGAGCTGCCCGGGGGCCTGGCAGAGCTGTGTGCTTCTTGGGCCCTGACATCTGGCAAGGGAGCGTCTCAGCTCCCTGCATGAATGTTGGAAAGGAAGCCAGTGGATGGCAGGGGTCGCAGGGCGGGGTGGGCCAGAGGCCAACAACCCTCACCCCTACTGCGGGTCTACTAAAAGCGAGCAGGGACCATCTGCAAGAGACCTGGGCATGGCCTTTGCACTGTGACTTCAGGGTGGCCCTGGAGACTCCCCATCCATCCCTGCTGTAGCTGAGGCAGCTTCTTGCAACAATGACACTTGCCCCTTCTCCTCCCTGTCCCCAGACCTCCAGAACATGGTAATCCCACCGTTTCCCCGAGGGCTCACTCCGGCAAGACTGTGCTGAGTGCCTTGCGCACATCCCCACCTTTCATCCTCACCAGCCCGGTACTGTTAGCCCCAGATTAGCCACAGAGGAGGAAACTGAGGCACAGAGTGTTAGGGAAGCAGCTGTGAGTGGCAGAGCTGGACCCCAGAGCTCTTGCTCTCTGCTGCTGCTGCAAAGCTCCCTTGGCGGAGTGAGCAAGGAGGCAAGGGGGCAAGGAGCTGGAGCTTTCTCTGCTGTCTTCCTAGCCCCAGACAGGCCTCCTATCGTGCCCACAGCCTAGCAGCTTCTGGCAGAATGCTCAGGGGTGCGAAGGGAGGCAGGTGGAACAGGGATCGTCATGGGGGGCTGCCTCCCCTGGAGGTGCTGAACAAGGTTGGTCTCAGTGTGGGAAGGAGGCGCCAGGGCACTAGTCACAGCATCCGCTGCCAGCACTGTGCCCAGAGAGCCGGCGGGTGGGTCAGCTGGCCAGGAGGGGCCAGGCGGGAGGTTGGGGGGAGCCTCAGACCCTTTCCGGAGGGAGGCAGGGTAAGCGGGAGCTTGGTAAATAAAGCAGGAAGTGGAGCGTTCAGAACATCCGCAGACCTGTTCTGACGTGCTGGCCCCTGCCGGGCTGCAGGGGGTATAACAATGCTTGCGTGTGTGCTGGGGAGGTGCTGCCGTGGGAGGGGCCCTGGAGAGCGTGTGCGTCTCCAGGTTGGTCAGATTTAGGCTGAAGTGCAGTTTAGGGCTTCCCCTGGGAGCCAGAGCATGAGGCTGCGGTGTGTGTGAGCACTCTCATTGCGTTCCCCAAGGCAGGGTAGATGGTGACTCTCACGGGGTAGCTCAGTGCTAGTTAGTAAAATGTGTTGATGGCACTGGACCCTGAGTACCATCACCTCTTATGAGTTGAGTTATCCTGGTTAAGTTTTTTTTTTTTTTTTTTTTTTTGAGACAGAGTCTCGCTTTGTTGCACAGGCTAGAGTGAGTGCCCTGGCGTCAGCCTCGCTCACAGCAACCTCAAACTCCTGGGCTCAAGCGATCCTGCTGCCTCAGCCTCCCGAGTAGCTGGGACTACAGGCATGCGCCACCACGCCCGGCTAATTTTATATATATATATTAGTTGGCCAATTAATTTCTTTCTATTTATAGTAGAGACGGGGTCTTGCTCTTGCTCAGGCTGGTTTCGAACTCCTGACCTCAAGCAATCCGCCCGCCTCGGCCTCCCAGAGTGCTAGGATTACAGGCTTGAGCCACCGCGCCCGGCCTGGTTAAGTTTTTAGATATCTCTGGGCCTTGGTTTTCTCACCTATAAAATGGGTCCAATTACAGAACTGAAAACAGCTAATGTTTATTAAATGCTTACCATGTGCCAGGCACTGTTCTAAGTGCTTTAGGATATGTTAACAAAATAAATCATCACGACAGCTCAGTGAGCTAGGTGCTATATTATTCTCCCCATTTTATAGATGGAGAAATTGAGGAAGAGAGAAAATAACCTGCTCCAGTGCACACTGTTACTGAGCCAGTATTCAAATCCAAGCTGCTCTAAAGTTTGTGCTCCCTTAACCATTATCCCTGCTTCATAGGGCTGCTGTGAGGATTAACTGAGACTGAATCTGGAAACCACATAGCACAGTGCCTGGGATGTATTAGGGACTCAATAAACAATGGTTGGGGATAGTCTATTGTTGTATTTAGTAAAGGTGATGAAGCCGGGATGAAGTGTCCAGGGGCAGAGCAGCCCATTCCTGGAGCAGCCTCCCTGCCAAAGCTGCTCAGACAGCACTGGCTTCTTTCTGCAGGAATCAGCTCCCTAGGAGCTGTGCCTGGCGGCAGGGGGTTCTCGGCAGATCCCAGCTCTGGAACCAGAGTGTAAGGGTGGCGCAGTGGCATTCCAGCTGGAGGTAGCCAGGCCCCAAATGCACTTGTGTGCTGGATAAAGAGGCTGAGGGGGACTCTGCCAGCCCAGGGTCCTCTCACCAGCCCGTGCCCCTGGAGGGGAGGGCAGAGAGGCGGCTGAGGCTGCAGTGTGTGGACAAGGCCTGAGCAGATCACAGCCACGGGCTCCTGCTTGGCTGGCTGTGTGTATGTGCACACGCGTGTGCATGTGTTTTGGAGGGAAGGAGGGCTGTTTTCTGGGACACAAGAGTGGGCCTATATTTCTAATTTGGTGTGTGCTCCAAAACTGAAACTAGGGCGTCCAGCCCTCCTGGGGCTATTTGAGCCCCAACACACTTTTCTTCCACCTGAGGCAGCTGAGGTCGGCACTGCCCTTTGCTTGGACCTGCTCTGTCTAGTGAGGTAGATGTTGAAATAATCATATTTTGGATATATTGGGCCAAATAAAATACATTATTAAAATTAATTTTTCTGTTTCTGTTTAAAAATATGGCAATAGAAAACTTAAAATTACGTAAGTTGCTTGCACTATATTTCGATTTGATGGTGCTAACTAGAGACCAATGATGTGGGGACTCTTTATGGCCAAGGGTCAGTGTTGCCTTCTCAGCCTGCAGTGGGGCACGGGGAGAAACACGAAACTCACATCCCAACGCCAAGCCACCACTGCTTCCCAAGCAACGATAAGTGCCATGGTGCGCTGGTGTCTACTGCTGTCACTGTGGTCCCTTGTCACAGCAGTCTCATGACAGATACACACCCACACCCAGAAACCCCTGCGCACCATCCCTCCCCAGCACCCACCAGAGGCTACCTGGCACACTCAGAGCAAGGTCCAAAGTCTGTCTCAGGGCCTTGGGCTGCCTGTCCTGCCCTGAGCACAGCGCCACCTTTCCTTCCCTTTAATTGCCTCGCTCTTTCCTGCCTAAGCGGCTTTGCACAGCTCTCCCCTCTGCCCGCTGCCATCTCAAATCTCCACTGTGCTGGATCTTTCCCGTCCTGGGGTCTTCACCCACTTTCATGTCCTCTGAGAGGCCCCTGCACACGGGCTCTGAGGCTGTCCCCTCCCTCCAGCACGAGCGCACTCTGCATCCCAGCACTCATCGCCCTGCAAAGCGACCTTGTCCAGATATTTGTTCACTTGCATGTTACCTGCCTCCTCTCAGCTAAGTTGTACCCTCCTGGCGAGGAGGGGCTTTGCTTGTCTTGCTCAGGCTGTGATATCAGTGCCTGGCGTGCAATAAACATTTGTTAATTGCATGAGTGGGTTTAGTCCTCATCACTACCTTACCAGGCTGGTACTATTATGCTCCCCATTTTGCAGATGAGGCATTTGAGGCACAGAAAGGAGAAATAACTTGCCCAAAGTCACAGAAATGGTAAAAAAAAAAAAAAAAAAAAGGCCAAATCCGGATTGGGGCCCAAGGGCTGCAAAGTGTAAAGGGAGTCCACAGGCCTGGCTATGGGCGCAGGGGCCAAGAAGGCTTGTGAGTGTGCCTCTGGCAATGCCCAGTCATACCCAGCCTTCTTCCAGGTATGTCTCCATAGTTGCAGGGCCTGTGTCCTGGCTTAGAGCTTGCTGAGTTGTCAGTGAGCAGGTGGAACAGACTCGGAAACACTGGCCTTGCTGATGTTGGCCTGGGCTGCAGCAGCACACAGTGAGTTGGGCAGAGGGGCTGCTCACCCACTTCCCAAGCCAGCCAGTGGGCAAGGTGCATGGTCAGCCCCATGGGGCTTGGCCTGGCTGTGGAGGGCTTTGCTGGGAACAGGAAGCTTTTCAGAGCAGCTGGGGTGTATGGCCTGCCTGAGAGCTCTGCTTTCCTGCTGTTCCTGAGGGTTGGGGTGTTCTCTCTGCTATGGTACATCCTGTGTCCACAGACAGGTGTCAGTACCATGGAGGCTCCAGCTGGGGGCTGAGACTTCTGGGAAGGAGTGGGGCCCACGAGCAGCCACGCGGCCAATCTCCCTGTCTACAGGATGCAGCCATGAAGCTGTGGTCCTCAGCCCATAGAGTTTTAGCAGAGTTTTAAAATTGGGATGGTGACTTTGATCTCTGCTCTGTCCTTGGCTGCACTGTTACAGCTTGGCGCCAGCAGTATGAAGCACACAGCCCCGGCAGCCTACCTTCTTCAGCTGGACCCTGTCCTCCCCAGCAGTGGTCCTGCCTGCTCCTAGCCAGACCAAAGGCATTAGTGGAGGAGCAGAGCCCAGGAGCATCACCCCACATCTCCTCACCCCTGAAAGAGGGGACATGGAGAGGAGGGTGTGCGTCCTGAAGGATGCCCAGGAGGCGGCAGTTGCAGTGAAGGAGCAGGGCCCAGGAGCCAGCAGCGGGCCCCTCTGGTGACCACGTTGGCAGCAAGCTAGCCTTTGCTGGGCCGTTATCCACCCAGGCTCAGCAGAGACAAATGAGGGTGTGTCCCAGGGGCTCCTCCGTCTGCATTTACCGGATCATTTTTCTTCTGGCAGAAGCTAGTATTGTGTGGGAACCAGAGAATGTGACTACAGGTCTTCCCTGCCTTAGCCAAAGATGGAGAAGGGTGAGATGCATGCCTAGCAGAGCCGGAACTGTGGATGCCTGCGGTTTAGGCTGCAGGGTTTAGAGAGATCAGTTCAATCAGAATGATTGTCCGAGGCCCCTGAGTTCCTGCCTCTGAGGCACCTGGTGTCCTGCACACCACAGCGCTCCAGCACACACGAAGACGCAGCTCTCCCCAAGAGAGTGGCCTCTCGGAAACCTGCCCATGCTCCGTGAAATGAGTGGCCAGGGGACAGGTGGCATTATTGACATCAGCATGGGGAGGGATGTAGGAAACCGTGAGTGACTATTGCAGGTGCCAGGCCCCCGGGTGCCCTTGCCTCTCTGGCCCTTCGCTGTGACCGGCCAGCTCTAGGCTCTCAGGACACCAGCCCCATCCCACTCACCTGCTCGTAGATGGTTTTCATGAGCTCCACGAAGCTGTGCAGGCCTTTTAACTTGGTTTCCAGTTCGGTCCGACGAAGGCACTCTGCATCCAGGTCCTGGGGTTGGGAGCAGTGGTGAGTGACGGGAGGGAATGTTGCGGGCCCAGGGTGGGAGTGGGGTGAGGCCTCCCAGGGTGGGAGTGGGGTGAGGCCTCCCAGGGTGGGAGTGGGGTGAGGCCTCCCAGGGTGGGAGTGGGGTGAGGCCTCCCAGGGTGGGAGTGGGGTGAGGCCTCCCAGGGAAGACCTGGTTCAGAGCCTGGGCAAAGGGGCTGGATGGGGACAGGCGTATCCCTGTGTCTACTGGTCCTGGGACTTAAACCTCTGAGGGCTGTTTTGCTTGGGCACAAAGGAAAGGAGGAGACCCTGAGGCCCACGGTGAGGACGAGCCTGAGCAGCCTACCTTCTTCAGCTGGACGAAGGTAAACTCCATGTCTGTGCGCTTGGAGATCTCATCTTCATACCTGGGCGGGTGGGAGAGATGCTGCTCAGCTGGCTGTGGTGGGGGCTTGGGGTTGGTTAACTGCCCTGGGGAGGGGCTCAGGGCCTCTGCTGTCCCAACTGGAAAAACGTGGCCCATCGTACGGGTGGATGCAATCTCATGTCTTCTGTGACACGTCACTCTGCCTCATGACCCCTGGCGGTGGCCCCGTTTTCTCACTCCCTCCTGATGACCCCCTAGTCCTCTCCCAGCAGCTTCTGCCTCTTCCTGGCTGTGCCCCACCCCCCCCTCCAGGATGCCTCCCCTGTCGTGCAGCACTCTCTCCCTGGCACTTTGTCCCTTCATCTCCTCCCCACCTCCAGCCCTGAGAATCTCAGGTCCAGTCAGGTGGGGTCGTGGGTCAAGTCCGTGGGAGCATCCTGCTCTCCCCTCCCCTTCTCCCCTTCCCTCTGCTTCGCTGGCTGGCAGGACACCAGCCCATCACGTTCCCACCAAAGGGAGGAGGGGAAGAGTGTGGACTTTGCCATCAGATGGACCCATGGTGTGTTTTTGGGCAAGTAACCTCAGTCCTCCTGCTTGGCTTCCTGAGTGTGTTGGGCATGTGTGTGCACATGCACAGGGGCTGACAAAGGCCACCTCTGACACAGCAACAGACAGTGACATGGTGTACACTCAGTACTCAACTAAGCGCAACTACTCTCTTCCCAGTTTGGCCTCCTCCTTACTCAGGTCCACCTGTGTTGGGAACAAGGACACTGCTGGGTGGGCGGAAGGGATCCCTGCCTCCCTGACCTGACCCTCTTCTTCCAGGCAAGATGACTGTTTTGGCCCCATGGCCTCGGACTGACTCCCCTGAGCCCTCGCCTGCCCAGCGGATGTGGGGATTCCGGGCTTCTGTTTTCTTCCCCCTCTCCGGGGGTGCCTGAATCACTGGCAGCTCTAATTACAGCCGCCTGCCTGCCTCAGTCCCTGACCTTCCAGCAGAGGCGTCACCCCCGCCCACAGCAGCCGGCTGGACCTGGCCCTCGGCCCTCGGCCCTCTTCTCCACCTGCCCACCTGCGCTCAGCGAGTGGACAGGAGGGTGGCCAGGGCCTGCGGAGCACAGGGTCTCTGGGTCGAGTGTGCTGAGTCACACGCTCTCCGGCTGCCACCTTAGCTTCCAAGTTGTCGGGGGCTCTGAGGGTACGGTTCATGGGGGCTGGGCAGAGGGCTGGGCCAGAGGCTGCTCTGCTGTCTGGGGCCTGCCAGGAGAACAAAATGCGCCAGAAGCACCTTGACTGGAGGGGCGGTGACAGGTGCTGTGGACAACCCCCTCCCCCTGTGCTGGACACGTCACCAGTACCCTCTCCTGGGACCCTCAGAACCCCCAGCGAGGAAAGTCCTATTGGTCCCATTTCACAGATGAGGAAGCAGAGGCTCAGAGAAAGGCTCAGAGGTGCCTTTCAGCAGGGGGCTCCAGACTACTTGGGCTTGAGCCTGGCTTCCTTGCTAACTAGCTGTGTGATCTTGGGTGGGTTACCGCGTGAGCCTCATACATCGTAACAGTGACGTCACGAGGATTACTAAGGGCAACACTGCGGCTCGGCCCTCTGCCTTGGCCTCCTGTATTCTTGGAGAGAAGTCCCCGGAAGCCTCGAGGCAAAGTGTGGGGGGCTCTCTGCACACCCTTCCCAAATCCTCAGGGCTTGGCCAATGCGAACAGGCTTCCTATTGGCATGTGGGAGTCTCTGAGGAATTCCCTGTCCTGGGAACAGGGACCTGGGGATCCCCTCCCCGACAGGTCCTCCCCACACAAGCCCCATGCTCAGGACCCCCTTCTGCCCTCCCCTCTGGATAGCAGAGTTCTGCCAGCCTGGGGCAGGATCTTGGAAGCCATTGTGGTTGTCTGCGCAGCCTTCCTCCGCCTCCCTCATTGGATGCCCTCATCACTACCTCTGCTTTCCACTTGGCCCACTGAGTAATTTCTAGCGGCTTGGGGCCTGCTCCCTGGTTCATTTTTGCTCTGTCTCCTGAAATCCTTAGAAGGGGAACTTCAGGCTTTGGGCTGGGGGCACTGAGCCGTGTCAGAGCCTCCCACCCCCTGAGATGTACCCTTGCCTGGGAAGGGCGGGGAAAGCTGTGTCTCCAGGGTGTCACTTGCAGACTCAGCAGATAGAGACCTGTCGGGGTCCAGGGGGATAGAGGCAGGGTGAGTCGAGGGAGACAAGTGGCCTGGCAGCTGCTTTGGGAAACCTACCCTGGCAGAGGAGGACACCAGGAGTGTGGGGACCAGAGGCGGCATTTGATAGTGTCCGATCTAGGCCGGTCTGCCTTGACTTTGGTCCTCCAGGTATGCTGAGTGGGTGGGGTGGGAGCAAGGCCTGAGCCCCCAGGGAGAGGCTGGTGGCACAGCAGGAACACTGAGCTGAGTCCAGACTCTGGGTTCTAGCCAAGGGCCAGTCCTGGTAAGGCTACTGCTAGTCCATCCCTAGCCTTTGAGTGAATTAGAAAAAAGCCCCCTTCCTCAGATGACCTTGTGCCAGCCTGAGTGGCTTGATGCGAGACTGGATGGATTGCAGCCCCCATTCACCCATCCACCATGTACTCTTGTGCAGTGCACAGCTTGCACAATTGTATGTGGCATCTCTGAGTCAGTTGTCGTGTGGCCTCGGGCAAGTTGCTTCGCCTTGCTGGGCCTTTGCTCCATCCTTAGTTAATGGAAGGGTTAGACCTGCTGATCCTTGGGGTTTCTGCTACCTCAAAGCCCTTGGAAGTCTCTGTCCCCACAGAGGCTTAGGTGATACCTTCTCCCCTATTCTACCCCCAATCCTCTCTGCCAGTCTGCCAGTCACCAGCTCCCAAACCCGTTCTCAGGCCCTTTTTAGCTTGTCACACCCGCATCCCCCCCCCCCCAACTTGTTTATTTCTGTGAGCCGGGCTGATCTCATCCGCCCTGTAGGGGCAGGGCACAGCCCCTCCCTGCCAGGGCTCGGCCTGGCGTCTCCTGGCTCCTGGGGGCCCCAGGCTGTGCACAGAGAGGCTGCAGCTCCCTGGCTCTGCCTGCAGACCAAGGAGCCTTCCAGCCTCACCAGCAGGCCCAGTCTGTCTGTCCCCAGCTTAGGTGGCTCCCCACCCAGAGACGGGGAGAGAGGCCCCGAGCCTTAGCAGTAGTCAGACAGCAGCACATGGAAACTGGGCCGAGGGCCAAGTGAGGGGGCTGAGCCAGATGAAAACAGCAAGTAGTATTTGTACAGAACTTCCAGCTACAAAGTGCTCCTGTGGACACGATCTGGCTGGGCTCGTGGGAGTGGCCTTACCTGGTGGCCGGCTGGGGTCAGGGAGGGGACTTAGCGTGCAAGGCTGTGTGACTGAGGATGAGCCCTGCCCTCCCTGGGCCTCTGCTTCCTTCCATACAAGGAAGATCCAGGGCTCCCACCAGCTCAGCCGTCCTCTGATCCTTCGAGGGCCAGAGACCTACTCAGGTTCAGGGAAATGGGTTACAGGTTCTGGTGAACTGGTGTGGCCAGGCGCTGGGGAGCTGGGCCTCTCGGATGTGCTTCCCTAGGACTTGGGAGGGCAGGGCCAGGGAGAGATGGTGGGCAAGCTGAGACACAGCCCTGTCCCTGGACTCCTGGACAGGCTGCCCCCATCCTTCTGCCCTGGCTGCTTGGGGGACTCTGGGCCTTGCCTCAGACTGGTGAGGCTTGGGGCTGGGCAGAGCACTGCAGGAGGGGAGACTCGGGGATTGCCACACCCTGTCCTTCCCTCTCTCTGGCTGGGACCTCCTCACAAGGGGACCAGACCTGAGGAGGGGAGCAAGGGTACAGCCTCTCCGCTCTGCGTCAGACTCCTTGTCCCTGAAGCCCTGCCCACTGCCTGGTCAGAAAGGGTCATGTCTCCTCTGAGCAGCCCAAGTGCCTGGTCTGCTCTCTTAGACTGGCTGATTCAGTTCAGCAAACCTGCACCAAGACCCCATGTACTTCGAGATAGCAAAGCTGCCATTTCTAACTGCCAGGTACCATGCTGAGCCTGGGACTTCCTCCTTACACCAGTCATACCTTGGTATCGGCCATCATCACTCCCATTTCACACAGGAGGAAACGGAGGTTCAGATATTAAGCAACTTACCTGAGGTCACAAAGCTAGTGAGGGGCAGGGGCAAGGATTAAACCCCATCCTGGTCCAGTTGCCCAGCCGGGGCCCATAATCGCTGGGCTGCACTGCCCAGCAGCTCTTTGCCTGTCTGTCTGCCCCGCTAAGTTGCGAAAGTAGCTTGCAGGCTGGAGCCGTGTTTTCCTCATCTCCCTAGTTCCAAGTCTACCTCGATGCCTGGTGCACATTGCCTGTAGGGGATTGCTTCTTTGCTCAGAGAAAGCCCACCCTTCTCATCCCCTGCCTGCACCCTGGCTGCTGCCCTCACCTTTCAAAGCCAATCGAGATTGAAATCCAAAGCCACATCTAAGGCAGAAGCCATCTGCTGTTCCAGCTAAGGACATGATTCCCCATCGCCAGAGCGACATGGACACAAGAACAAATGTGCTCATGGCACAAGAGCTGGGGTGGGGGTTGTGACGGTGCCTGGGGGCCACAAGCACAGGGTTTGGCTGGGAGCCAGCACAAACTGACTTCTTTGTTAGGGTCACCATGTGGGAGAGGCAGCTGCAGGGTCACTGCCATATCCCCACTATTTACATACCATCTGACACACACTAGTCCCTCAGAAACTATCTTGGGCAAAGAAATGTTCCCTAACTTCTTTCCTCTTTCTCTGGCTTGGGTGCCTCCCACCTGGGTACAGCTTGGTCCCCACCCTCCGTCCTTGCCCACCGCCCCCACAGGGCGGGACCTACCTGATTCGAAACTCCTCGACCTTCTCCAGCACCTGCAGCAGGTTGGCCTCCAGCTGCCCCCGCTCCTGGGTCACCTTGCGCAGTTCCTCCTGCAGCCGGCCCTGGTACTCCTCGTAGAGGTGCCCGAGGTCGAAGGTGGCTGTGTCTTGGCCCTGCAGAAAGCTCCAGCGGGTCTCCAGCAGCTGGTTGCGCTGCTCCAGGGCTTGCACCTGGGAGAGCAGGAGGGTGGTGAGCAGGCCAGGTGTGGACCAGTCGGGTGCGGGGGGCCCTGGCTGGCCAGTGAGGGCCCGTGAGGGCTTCCCTGGGCAGTGGCAGCTCATCTGCGCACGTCCACCCAGGGCTCTCACTCAGCGCCTTCAGAACACATCCTAATTACTGATTGTTCCGACTGAAGATGGCAAGATAAGGGGAGGATCAGGGCTAAGGTGGAGCCAGTTAGCAAAGGTTTTCAGGGGAGGGGAGGGCGGGCAGGGCAGTGCTGGCCAGGTAGGGAGGGGACTAGGTGTGAGAGTGCCAGCATGTGCCAGGCTCTCCCTGCCTGCCTGGAGCTGGGGTGGGAGACCCCAGGGAATGTGGGTGTCAGGGGCCGCTGTGCCCTCTCCCTGCTGCGACAAGCCTGATCTCATCTTGTCTTGGAAACTCAGCAGGGTAGGGCCTGGTAGCGCCGTGCTTGAGTGCTAATCCTCTTGACAACCCAGACTTGTAGCCTCCGAAACCTTAGTTTTCCCATTTAGAAGTTGGGGGTGGTAACACCTGCCAACCTTTGAGGGCTGTTGGGGGAAGCACCTGGGGCCTGGGACGTGCTTTGGGACAGTAGTAGTAGCAAGAGCTCATGTGGCCCCTACTGGTTCCAAATGCTCAACATCTCCAATTTATTTAATCCCTGCAACAACCCCATGGGTAGGTATTATTATCAGCTGCATGTTACAGATGAGGACACCAGGCTCACAGAGGTGGAAGAACTTGCCCAAGGTCACAAAATTAGCAAGTGGCAGAGCCAGGCCTGGAATCCAGGCAGTTTGAGTTTAGAATCATTTCACCACGACCACGGATGCCTCCTGTTTGTTGCTGCAGTCATGCAGGCTCTGGGGCCCCAGCTGCCCTTCCTGGGCTGGCTTCTGCCTCCAGTTAGGCCCAGTTTTGCCTTGAGGTTGAAGACAGGAAGAGGGGAAGGGTATTGTGCCCGCTGCTCCTCTCAAGCACTGCCTCCTGACGCCTCCTGCTGTCAAGTCCCTCCTGGGTCCTCCGCCTCCCTCCACCAGGTCCAGCCCAGCTCGGCCTGGGCTCGTCCCCACCCTACCTGTCCCCTCAAGGCTGCAGCCTCCTTGGTCACTCTCCTTCCCATCGTCCCAGGCCCTCTGCTTCCGTCCTGCAGGAAGCAGTCGCTGACTGATTGCTTGAGAGACTCCCGCTTCCCCCAGCACCAAGGCCCTCAGTTTATCTGTTTCTCACTTGCCCGACTCAGCACCCTCCGGTCACATGGGAGCTGTCTGCTCCCCTCTCGGGGTCTCTATGCCCTTGGTGCCCAGGATGTGGGTCGGCCACTGACGTGGGAGGCAGGGCGGGGCTCGGCTCCTGGCCAGTGCTTGAGGATGCTGTGACAACCAGCCCAGTGATGTGCCCTCTGACCAAGGCAAGTCACTGGGCCTCCTCCCCCCCCAGCTGCTGCTGCTGGCCTTCTCCCGGAATGGAAGCCTGCAAGAGCTGCTGGAGCCTTTTGGAGCAGCCGGTCTGCACCCTTCATTTACAGAGGAGCCGATGGAGGCCGGGGCCAGGGGGTGGGGTCAAGTGACCTGTCCAGCAACTTGGTGGCCAAGCTTCCCAGACAGGCCCGTCTGATGGCTGCTGCCTGCTCCAGACCTCGTGGGCTCCCCGTCCCTCCTGAACCTGAGTGCCAGGCAGAGCTCTTCTCTCTGACCCGCCGACCTCCTTTTCTTCCTGTGACGCTCTGATGACCTTGGGAAGTCCCCTTTAGCATTCACAGTCGGCAGCTCCAGCAGGAATATTGGATGACAGCATCTGGCAACAGCATTTGTGGGCTGTCATTTCCCTGCTCAACTCCCATCTGTACCGGAAGGTTCTGCTTGAAGCCAGCCTCAAGCCTACTGTGTACTGTACTCACAGCTAAACAGGTTCAGTAGGGATGGAGGTCAAGAGGGTTTCTGCCCTGCTTTGTGTATGTGAGAGGGAGCACTGGGTGGGGGGAGTCTGCTCACCCCACCTTCTCTCCGTTTTGACAAGCAGGAGCTCCATGTTTACACTGAGGGTGGAGTGATGGGAGAGCTGTGAGGTTCCTTCCTCCACCCATGAGCAACCGAAAAACCTTCACACCAGGAAGTTCTTCCCTTAGTCTAACCTCAAGCTCCTATGCTTCAATACTATCCTGCTGGGACATGGTGCACATTTGGCTAGCCAGCCCAGCCAGAGGGCCTTTGTGGTCTTGGGGGATCAGGGGCAGACCCCTGTCTCCCACTGCCCTTTGGGGAGTCTTTTTTGCCTCGGTGGGTGGGGATGGGAACTCATCCCCCACCCAGGACCTTCCCTGCAGAAAGGCTCCTCCCTCTTGGAACAAAGGCCTAGGGAGGGCCGATAATCCCGGCACCCGGAGAGGTGCCAGGTTAATTGCCTCTAACCCATCCAGGCTGCAGGACCCTTGCCCCTCATCCCTCCTGTCCCCCACCCTTAGATCGTGTTGTAGCAGCTCTAGGAGGAGACTCAGCAAAACGCCTGCTCCATCTGCCTGCCTGATTTACAGACGAGGAGACTGTGGCCCAGCTCCGTGGTGGGGGGCCAGGGCAGAGGCTGGGGGAGAGATGGGTTTTTTGTAGGGGAAGCTAACCAGGCTAAACTGGAGCTCCTGGCTGGAGTCTGGGGGCTTCTCGGGGGAGCAAGGTGGCCACCCAGAGACTTCAGGTCCCGAGCCCATGGAGCAGTGTCTCTGGGGCCTGCAGGTCCTGTTGCTCAGGTGGGGCCATCAGATCCCCTGCCTTTGAGTTGGCTTTGCCCAAGGAGCCGCAGTGACTCTTTGTCGGGAGGGCCTGGTTTCTGCCTTTTTGTATACAGGCAGGGGAGGACTCCAGAGACCGCCAGGGTCGGTCACACAGGCCCAGGGAAAGACAATGTCCCCATCTCTCCATCTCCAGGCAATTCAGCACTGCTCTTGGGCTTCCTCTCTACAGCCTCCCCAGGACACCCTTGGCCAGTCCTGCGTCTTGTCCCGCCTGCAGCCCCTCTGTTGTCTGCATGAGAAGGCGAGAGGCCCAGCCGGCAGCCTCTGCCAGAGGTAGGCATTGCCCTCTCCTGCCTCCCTCCGCCTCTCCTGCAGCTGCTTATCCTCATCCCCCTTGTCTTGTGACCGTGGCCTCACCAGTCCTGCCCCTGGCATGAGCTCAGGGCCACTGCAGAGCAGAGCAGAGCAGAGTGGAGCAGTGGAATCTGCGGCACAGAGAGGGTAAGCGGTTTGCCCAAGGTAACACAGCCAACAAATGTAAGAAATAACACTGTTCCAGGACCTCTTTGCCAACTCCTGAGAGTTTCTCTCCCCTTTCTCCTCCTTCTCCTCAGTGCTCTCTCAAGGGGATGTGGAGCCATGTGCCCCTGCCCTCTCGTCTCTTTGCCCAGAGCCCCCACCCACTGGTCCTGGCATCTCACCCCTGGGCCTTCCCCCAGGCCCAGACATCTCCCCTACATCGCGCTGCACCACCAGGTCCCTTCACTTCTCCTCCCACAGGGCCCTCCCCTCCCCTCTTCTCAAGGCTCCTGCCTGGAAGGGGCAAGTGGGTTCTAGGAGCTCCCTGGGCCAGGCTCATTTATTTTATTTTTTATTTGACAAATAATTATAACATATTTACTACGTGTGGGGGATGTTATAACCACTTTTCAGAAATTGCCCCCATTTGATTCTGACAAGCCCGTGAACCTGATGTGTACTGTGGCACAGAGAGGTCAAATACCCCGCCTGAGGTTACACAGCTGGGCAGTATCGCTGCTCCAGATTTCACACTCACCCACTGCCTGCTCCTACCCGGGCCCCAGCAGCCTTCGCAAGGAGCTACCAGATCTCCTCTGCAGAGTCGTGGGTCCAGAAGGCTGGCACCCACAGCACCCTGCATCCCACCCCGAAGGGCACCCAGCTGAAGGCCAAGGTTTGAAGGTTGGGAGGCTCCAATTCTGTTAAATACCTTCAAGGGCATTGCCCTGGCTCCTGGGCACAGGGCCCCGACGCACAGGGCCCCTCCCTGCGCCCACCCACCATCCATCCCTACGGCAGAGGCACAGGGTGATATCAGCACTGGCATTCAAGGAAGAAAAGCCACATATCTGAGCCAAATTACACAGCTCAGTGAAACATTCCTTTTAAGGGATTAAGCAGGTTGGTGAGGAGGTGGCTCTGCAGGGACCTGCCTCCCCAGGGCAGCTGGGCTGCTCTCCGAAGGAACCGCTGGCACAGCGGAAAGGGATGCTGCGCCTCCGTGGATGGTTGCCCTTCCCCTCCCAGTGCCCCGACCTGGGCACCCCAGGTGGGGACAAGGAAACTCTGGTCTAGGCACATGAATGGGTGAGGGAAAGAAATGATTTCCTTCTCAGAGACCACTGGCTTTGTCTCGGAGACTGAGTTCGAATCGAGACTGCACCACTTGCTGGTCGTGTGACCTTGGGCAAGGCACTTAACCCCTCTGGTCCTCAGTTTCCTCATCTGCACAGTGCTGTGTGGGCACATGACATCACATTTGCACAGTTCCTGCAGAGGGCCAGGCACAAGCTGGTGCTCAGTGCTTGTTCCTCTGCCTCTCCCTGTGAGCTCCCACCTCATGGGGAGGCCAGCAACGTGCAGAGGATCAGAGGCAGGGAGACCAAGGTGCAGACAAGGACAGAGCCAGGGCCGGAGGCTGGGCCTCTGGTTTGCTGGGAGGGTCAGGAAAGTAGAGTTTTCCTCATCTGTAAAATGGGCATAAAAATATCTCCATAAGGTTGTTGAGGAAAATAGAAATCTGCGAAGCACCCAGCACAGTGCCTGGCACACAGCAGGCAAGTAGCAGCTGTTACTGTCATGATTACTCTTGGGCAGGGCAGGGGGGCTTCTTGGAGGAGGTGAGGAGCAGGTTTGGGGAGCTGACGGGATTCCCTCGGGAGCTCCCCTACCCTGGAGGCAGAGATGATACGAGTGCCCCAGACCAGTTGCAGGCCATGGCACTCGAGGAAGTGTGGGGCTTGGGGTGCTGAGGACTCATGCCCCTACTCAGGTGGGGTGCGGGGAGGCCTGGCCGGCTGCTGGTCCTGACTCGAGCATCCTTCCCTGCATTCCTATCTCCTGACGCGCCAGAGCTGCATCCTCTCACCGCACGCAGCCTCCTTCCGGCAGCCCCACACGCCCCCTCGGCCCCGCCGGTTCTTTTCACTGGGAAGCTGAGCAGGCTGCAGGGCCACTGAGGGATGGACAGGAGGGTGGACCTTGGGAGGTCATCTCTACTGTCCATCTGCCTCGAGTAGGACCAAGGGCCACGCCTCCATCGGCTGTTGCCACGACGGGACCCTTGGCCACACTCAGTGCTGCTCCCTAGTCCACGCCTGGGGGGAGGGGGTGGGGCTGGTGGCCCCAGGCCATGTGGCATATTATTGTCCATCCCTCAGAGACCATCCTGGGGTCCCTTTCTCCTCTCCTGCCAGGACGGATCAGGAATTCCCTCCCCTGCCCTCTGCTCAGAGTCAGCAATGCGGCTCCCCATTGGCTGCGGGGAGGGGTGGGGCGTGATGATCCGTGCTGGGGAAATACAGAGCTTGGCCACCTGCCCAGGCCTGCCAGTCCTTAGTTTGGGGGACCCCCCACTGACTTACCTTGCCAATCAGGGAGGCAAATTTATCATTGAGGACCTTCATCTCCTCCTTTTCCTGGTTCTTTTGCTGCTGGACAGCCGGGTCCACCTTGAGGTCCAGGGGCACCAGCAGGCTGGAGTCCACGGTCACCTTGGGGATAGTGCCAGCCGACCAGCAGCCTGTGAGGCTTTGGGAACTGAAGCTTGGCCTGGGGGCCCCGCAGCTGCTCCATCCTGAGGCTCCAGGCCGGGGGCTGCCCGCCGGGGTCACCTCACAGCCGCTGAGGCTGCTGAAGCCAACGACACAGGAGCGGCAGGCCATCTCGGACCCCCGGCCTGGGAGCAGGAGGGCCCAGGGGTGAGGGAGTGAGCCTTGGATGGGTGATGGGTGGCAGGCTCTGGTCGCAGCCGGGGCAGGCTGGGGACTGAGGAGCAGACACCTGTCGTACAGTGCTCATTAGCTGCAGGAGGGCGGGACGCCTCCCAGCCTGACCAACCTGTTGGATGATGTGCTGCGGCCCCTCCCCCAGCACAAGCACGCAGGCTCTCCCTCCCCCAGGGGATCTGCCTCGCTGAGGGGCTGGCCACAGGCCCCCAACCAAGCAGCCCTGGCTCCAGGGAGGGGGCCACGGCTGGGCTGGCTGAGGGGGGGCACGGGGAGTCAGCAAAGGCGGGCAGATTCAACAGGGAAGGAGAGAGCAGAGAGAGGCCTCTCACCGCAGGCAGCCCTCGCTGCATACCTGAAGGCTGACGTAGCTGGGCTCACATACTTCTGGAAAGGATGAGGCAAGCACAGGGCCTGAGCTCCGAGTGTGAGTGTGGGGCAGCTGTCCTGGGCACTGTGCCAGCCGGGCACTGGGAAACAGCACCTTTGTCTCCCTGCATATCTTCCCTTCTTCCTACCCTGCCCCGTCCTTCCTCGGCTCCAGCTGCCAGCCCTTGAGCACCTGCCATGCACTCCACTGTCTCAGAGGCTGGAGGAAATAGATGGTCAAGGCCAGGAGCCCTTGGCTTTGGAAGCACGAGGCGTGGGTTCAAGACTCGGCTGCTCACCCCTGGTGTGACCTTGGGCACGTCACCTGATCTTTGTCCTTGTTTGTAAAGTGGGGATGAAAATACACATCTCCCAGGAGGCAGTGTGTGTGGGGCACTCTGTGGAGGCACGAGTTGGCTCTGCCTCCAGGTCTATGGGAGCCCTGCCTCCCTGGCTGACCTTTCTCCCTATCCTCCCTCCCTCCTTCTCTTCTCTAGCTCCTTGGACCTCTTTCATATGAAGTATGACGTGGAAATAGAAAAGGCACCATTTTGCCCCCACAGAACCTGCCCCCCGTCCAGGGCGCTCCCCCTGCCTTCCGGTTCCTGAGGCCCCCCTCTCCCCATCCAGGGCTTGCAGTTCACCTGGCCCAGCCTCCTCCTTCCTCCCCGCCTGATGGTCCTGACGCTCTGGCTCTGGTGTCCTCCTGGACCTGGCACAGCACCCTGGGTGGTGGGGCCAGAGCAGAGAGAGGAGCGTGCCTGGGAGGGTCTCAATGGCCAGGGACAGAAGGGACCTCAGCCCCCTCTGGACCCAGAGGAAGAGAGAGGCCCTAAGGAGGAGGGCCACCTGAGAGTCACAGCACCCTCCTGGCCACCTCCTCCCAGTCCAGACCGCTTTCCCACACATGGGGCACTCCTGCCTCAGGAGGACACAGGACTGTTCTGAGGCCGAGGTTCCATCCTGCCCCTGGCCCCCAGGGTGCCATGCTGGGGCAGGCTGGCGAGTCCCTGCTGGGTGTCTGTTCCCACTTCTGATGCCCCTCCCCATTCAATACCTGCCCGCATGGCCTCTTAGCCTCCCACCATCCTTACCCCGGCCTGGTATCCGAATGGCATGTGGGCAGACACGCACCCTGCCCCCTGCCCATCACCCTGTGCTCTGTGGCGAGGGTGGGGGCAGCAGTGGCATCTGGGCTCTGCTGAGGCCAAAATAGTCAACACATCAGGAATGTGCCAGATGCTTGGCGAGGATTAGCTCCACAATCCTTGTGACAACCCCCACCTCTGGTGGATGCTTTGATTCTAGTCACCCCAATTTACAAAGAAGAGAGCTCAGAGGTTAAGTGCCTGGTGTAAAGTCCCGCAATTGATCAGTGATGGATTTGAACCTGCACCATTGGAGTTAGGAGCTCTTACTCTGATCTCAGCCTCTGAGTTTTGGGGCTCTAGCAAGTGCAGTGAGTTAGAAAAGGAAGTTGTCTTCTTACTGTCCAGGGTGTAGTTCAGGGCAGTTCCTCCGCCTAATTCTCTTTAAGCTGGAAGCCTAATTCTCCTAAGTGCCTCTGCGAGACTAACATCTGCTATTTCTTGCTGACTTCCTCTGGCCTCAGAGTTTTGACAGGTCATAGTTAATTGCCGAGTCCCTGGCACCTGGGCTGGCTTTGCAGGGCTTGTCTCTGGGGCCGAGCACAGCACTGAGCACGGGTGGTTTCCTTTGGGGTGTTCTCACCTCCCTGGAGGAAAGGAGTCTGTGCTAGCCCGGGGCTCTGGCCTGGAGGGAGGGATGTGGGGCCGCCTGCTGCTTGCTCTCTGGCCCAGCAGTCTTCCTTGGGTGCAGTCGGTAGAGGTGTCTTTGATTGTCACTGCTCTGGCTGCCAAACAGGAACAGCAGCAAAAAAGCCCAAAACAAACAAAACTTCACAAAACACCCAGCCCTACATCCTCTCCCCACCCCCTGCCTCTTCCCCTGCCCCTTTCTCTCCCCAGCCCCACCCGTACCTCCCTCCACCCTGAACTGGCATCCTCGGGGTCCCCTGGGCCAGGCAGCTGTCTCTGAGCGGGGGCTCTCTAGCCCAGCCAGTGGGAGTCTCCACTCTCACTGAGGACCGGACGCAGCCCTCTGCTGGCCTTGGTACAGAGCCTGGGCCACTCAACCCCCTCCGCCAGGGAAGCAGGAAGCCTGGTAGGGGTCAGGAGATGGAGAGTGGGGGTGACTGTCAGTCTCTCTGGGGATGTTCAGGTACCTGGGAAGTCTCCATATCCCTCTTGGACACACTAGCAAACGAACCTGCTTGGTGCTTCCATGGGGCACACGCTTGGGTGACCCAGCTGGAAACGGCATCTTGTGTGCCTCTGGGATTCTGGAGGCCTGTCTGGCTGTCCTTATGTGGTCCAGTCTCCCCCACCTGGAGCCCCCAGTTCCCTGTAACTGGTGACAGGACACAATCCTGATCATCCAGGAGGCAGAGACAGGCCAAGGGAGGGCAGGGGCTGGCCAGAGGTGAGGGACAGGGGGGCGGCTTGGCTTGGGGTGCTTGGAGCCTCCTGGAACTGGTCTTGCAGCGAGGGGGAGTTTTCCTGTTTTCTCTCTCTCTCCTCCTTCCTTTCTTCTCTTTCTTTCTCTATGTCACTCCCTTCCGGCCTCTGGTCTGCCTCCTTCTTTTTTTTTTTTGAGACAAGAGTCTCACTCTGTTGCCTGGGCTGGAGTGCCGTGGCGTCAGCCTAGCTCACAGCAGCCTCAAACTCCTGGGCTAAAGCGATCCTCCTGTCTCAGCCTCTCGAGTAGCTGGGACTATAGGGATGCGCCACCATGCCCAGCTAATTTTTCTATTTTTAGTAGAGACGGGGTCTCACTCTTGCTCAGGCTGGTCTCGAACTCATGAGCTCAAGTGATCCTCCTGCCTCGGCCTCCCAGAGTGCTAGGATTACAGGTGTGAGCCACCACGCCCAGTCTGCTTTCCTCTTATTCTCATGCACCTCTTCTCTCCATGTCTATGTTGTGCCACCTCTCTCCTGTTTTCCCATCTGCCTGTCCCTCTGGGTCTTCTGCCCACTCAGAGTTCTGGCCTGGGGCTCCTCCGTCTCTCTGCCCTGGGGCAGGAAAGGCATCTGGGTTCACGCCCCTGCAGCCTGGCTGGATGTCCTTATGGGAACGGCATCTCTGTGTCACAGTTTCAGTGCCTCCTCTTTGTGCTGCTCCCCAGGAAGCCTGGCTGGGGAGGGATGACAGCGAGCAGGCTAGCCACACATAGTTGCTGGATGAATGTTCCAGTGGGCACATCCCAGCCTGGCTCGGGCCCTGGGCAGGATGTGGCTCTTGGGGAGACCAGGATGTGGCTCGTGGGGAGACAGACAGGGACTGTCTGGGTAAGGGAGCCAGCAAAGGGTCTGGAACCTACAGGGGAGAATCTTAGCCTAACTCCAGGGCATGACAGGAAGGAGGGCCACTCTGCCAGGAACCTTCCCAGATGCACCTGCTCAGGTTCCTGGCGGTTTCTCATCCTCTCCCCTAAACGCACGTCCACTCCTGTGGTCATTACCTGGGTCACTGCCCTCTTGCTAACAAAATTGGAAAGTTCTGGCCTCCTTTCTCCAGATCTTCCCGTTGAGCAGGCCAGTCCTGGGGCCACGGGAGGGAGGCCCTGCTTAGAGGCCAAGACCTGGGAATGGCAAGGCTTAGGCCAGGGGCTGAGGGCTTTTCAGCAACCTGTGGCTGTGTGATAAGAATTTCTGAGGGTTCCAGAGCTGGGGGTTAGGAGCTAAGTAGAGATTTGGGAAGGGCAAGGGCTGAGAAGGGGAACTACCTAGCAAGGATGAGGAAATGAAGCCTCCCCCGCGAGCCAGGCAGGCTGTGGAGACACGGAGGAGGCTGCCTGACGAGGTGTCAGAAGGAGACAGTGAGCTAAGAGCTGGAGGAAGAGGAAGAGCTGTCTAGGCAGGGGAGGGAAGGGTGTTTCAGGCTGGCATCACGAGCTGTGCAGGTGAGAAACTGTGTGGGATGGGGCCAGGGAATGACGACGGCAGGTATTACCGGAGTGCTGGAGGTGCTGCAGCGTTCGGGGGAGCAGTGACTTCCTCGGGGGCCCAAGGAGGCTGCGATCACTCCTGGGGCTGTGGGGATGGAAGAGTCCTTGGAACGCCAAACCCCATCCTTTGCCCCTGCTGCCCTTCTTCCTTGCTGCGTTGTGTCTCTGCCACGTCCTCTTTCTCTCCACAGCCCTGCCCGTCCCCACTCCACCACGCTGGCCACATTTCCCCGCGTGCGCTAAGTGGTATCGCGTGTCTGTTGAACGGTGCTGATACAGACCTTTCATCGGCACCTACAATTCTACTGGACGGTGCCGATCTGCAAAGAAGGATGTGAGGTGGGCCAGGAGGCTGCGGAGTCCTGGGGGCTGTGAACTGGTTCGGGATCGCCCTGTGGGCACCATGGGATGGTGGCGGAAGCTCTGGAGTTGGGAGACCCAGATTCTGGTCTAGGGCCGCCGCCATTCACCAGCTGTGTGGTTTGGGGCCAAACACTTGGCCTCTCTCGGCCTCCAGGCCCGGAAAATTAGGTTGCATTGGAGGATCATTAGTTTTTCTTTTTTAATTTTTCTAGTTTGGTTCAACAAATGTTCTGCGAACTGTTGTCAACCCCTTGCTATGCAGGTGCTTGGCTTCCAG